TATGAAAATACCATTCGAACGCGTGGTTGAAGACACGATAAAGCTTTTTCTTCTGATTCCGAACATCGACATCCCAGCCTCTTGTGGCATCAGCACACCTTCCCAATACCTTTTTAGAACACTGCGTACATGGCTCGCGCCTCGCGGTCGATTTTTTGTTTTGCCTAAGCGCATGGGCATGGAGCCAGCAGTGGTGTGTCATACGACCTCCCGAAGCTTTGCGTTTTGACGTCAATGGGCAGTGTAAGCAGTTTTTCGCCTTACGCATGTGCCATGGGTTCGAGTAGGCAGGGCACCAATGTAAGCTACGCGCGATGGCGAGTATCCCATTATGCGCCGAGATGAAGCTTTGACGTAAAGAAATAACCACATTTCCTGATTTAATGCTTCTGTAAGGAATATGTAACCACTCACTTACACTTTTCGAATAAAATTATAGCCATGCGTGCGCGTGACCTATGCCATAATTCTATGCCGTGCACAAAGGAATTTCGCGTAATCTTTTCGTCATTTTGAAACATGCGTACTGCAGCTGATAAAGGTAGTGTTCCATATTTGTAGGTTTTTTAAACTGAAAACCATGTTGGATATTATTCGGCGCAGTACAAGAGATCTTTCGCGAGCACGATCTCCAAATATATTGGACGCTCATTTGCTCTCAATCAACCGTTCTTTTGCACTCGTTCTTCACTTACAGGTTGTGCAGGCTTCATTGACAAATCACGCTTTGTGCTACATAATTCAAGAAGTTAGACATGGTTTTTAAGCTTGCTAGGTATTACGAAAATAATATTTAAATTCGAGTAGCTTAAAATGACGCCATAACGGAGCATGTGGTTGCAAGTACACATCTTGAACTCACGGATAAAACCGAGCATATGGATGCAAGTACACATCTTGAACTCACGGATAATTATGCAATAACACTATAAGAGAGGACCAAAACACGAGCACATAACAATATGTGGCGCAGCGAACGCCTCCAGCGCGGCCACTGCCATCTCGACGAGTTTGAAGCACTACAATCATTGCCAGGATGGCAATTCCCCAGGGCTAGTTTGGCAGCACCTCATCCTCATGCAAGAGTTTCATGACGCAATCAAGCAGCGACGTTCTGAAGGGCATATTTACTGTATAAAGCAATTCTGTTGTGTAGAGCAGTCATTTCCTTTTAGAGTATTCTTATAAACATGCTAATAGTGATAAGAGAGCTTATTTCATCGTCTGGTGCCTGCTGTAGTATATTCAAATATGATGCAGTCCTTTTAAGAAGTGGGATAAGCGCGCAGTGGCGCTTCTGGCTGCCTCTAGTCCCACCTTGCGAGTACATCGAAGCAGGCCCGAAAGACGTGGGTTCCAACATGGTCCGTCCCTCCCCATCCGATCAAATGCTTTCCCCCACGGTTGAAAAGTCACATTGCCGCAAGCGGCAAAGCAAGCGGTGTTGTGACGATAAACTGCTCCAACTAATGGCGACAAACCACGCAAGGTCTTCTGCAGTTCAGTTTAAGTTCCGCCGAGAAGCCAGCGCCTTTGGCAGGGTCTGAATCCACACCGTGCGGCTTGTCAACGCCACCATGCTCGCTATTCGCTGTGGAGAGAGGGTTGATGGCTAGTTGACTGGCCCAGTCCACATGTTTGCGGATAATTAGTTTGTTTCTACTCCATCAAGTCGTTCAAAGGCTGCGTATCCTAATGTCTTTATTGGAAAAGCGCGCAATCTAGATTTTACGTTACGATATCAGGAATCGAAGCAACGTTATGTTTTCACTGATCGGCCGACGCCATACATCCGCTCGCGAATAGAGCGGATGGTCGTCGGCGTGGGCCAACCGTGTGGCGGCAGCGTCCGCTGGTGCACGCGTGACCGTGTGGCGGCAGCGTCCGCTGGTGCACGCGTGACCGTGTGGCGGCAGCGTCCGCTGGTGCACGCGTGACCGTGTGGCGGCAGCGTCCGCTGGTGCACGCGTGACCGTGTGGCGGCAGCGTCCGCTGGTGCACGCGTGACCGTGTGGCGGCAGCGTCCGCTGGTGCACGCGTGACCGTGTGGCGGCAGCGTCCGCTGGTGCACGCGTGACCGTGTGACGGCAGCGTCCGCTGGTGCACGCGTGACCGTGTGGCGGCAGCGTCCGCTGGTGCACGCGTGACGCTGGTCCTGTGGTGTTGCAGCTCAGCTGACCGGGCCGGGGCCCTCCAGCTTGGCGTTCGACCTCAGCCGCTTCACGCCCAGTACTGCTCAGGACACGCTCAGTGAGTAGCCCCCGGAGCGGCCGTCCGGCGCGGCGCGCCACGGCCCCCTCCTGCACGCCACGGCCCCCCGCTGGCGCGCCACGGCACCCCGCCGGCGCGCCACGGCCCCCCGCTGGCGCGCCACGGCCTCCGCCGGCGCGTCACGTGCACCCCGCCGGCACGCCACGGCCTCCGTCGGCGCGCCACGGCCTCCGCCGGCGCGTCACGTGCACCGGCCGACACGCTGCCGCCTCGCCACGGGGACGCGCTCGGCAAACAGGCTTGAGTTGTAGACTCCGCCTTTGGCGAGGCGTAACTCACCTGTCGTTTGATAGCTGAAAGGTTGTCAGCACTCAAATCCTCGCTGTTGCGGCCGTAAAGGCTGACTAAAGCGTGCATTGAATCGGTATATATTGGTACCGGGCACCAGGTGCAGCAGATGTCTGTGCGGGATTAACAAACCAGTTCGCGGAACGTTACTATACTAGCTAGCACCCTCCGTGTACTTTCTGCGGATCTGGTCAGCTTTTGGAAGCACAGTCTGTACTAATCGGAGCTGGTTGCATGGACTGTGCGGCCACATGTCCATGATCGCACCTAGAGGCACTGTTTTGTCCCGCGCGCGGAGCCAGGTGGCCCTGTGGGCCGTGCGGGCAAGATCAAAACACACCGTATCGTCACCTTGCCGGTCATTTGCTCCGTGTACCAGAAAGTGACGCCGCCACGAATCAGTGAAGAGAAATCCACTTGAATAGTAAAATTGATGTCCGAAGACGGCTGATAACGTGTTTGAGATGTTTGCTCGCTTGCCGTTATTCCGATTATTGTTATCGTCATTGTTGATCGAATGCGCTGTCCTCATTGTTAATTAGCATGCATATCGCATGTGCTGCCTGAGCACCGTATGCTACTATTTTTTTTGCTCTCGACTGACTCTGATCCCTTGCTTGAGGTGATGGCCTGTTTTTGCCCTTTACCTATAGATGAATGCATTTTTCTCATCCTGCTTTCTCTGCCCGCTTCTGCCTGTTTGCATTACTTTAACTTATTCACCTGTCAGTCTGTGACTGGATTCTGGATGCTTCCTATGCCGAGGGGTCTCCCGGCTCCCCGTTTCCTGCGGCCGGTGGGTTGTACCTGCCCCCCCCCCCCCTACCCGTCCGTCCCGCTGGGCCGGGTGCCGTTCCTGTCCCCTCGGTCCACCTCGCCAGGCCCGGCGCGGCGCGGCCGACCCGACCCGGCCTGGCCCGGCGCGGCGCGGCCCGGCCCGGCCGTAGCCGCCGGTCCGGTGACGACAGCGTGGCCCAGTTGCGCCAGACCGCGCGCGCCCGCCGGCGAAAGTGAGCGCGCGCCCGAGCGAAAGTAGCGGCGGCGTGCCGGCGCGGGCTGCCGTGCTCGGCGTCGGCTCGGTCCGGTCCGACCCTGGCCGGCGTGTGGTGCATGTGCCCGGCCCGGCTCCGGTGGGGGCGCCGCCGGCGGTGGTCGGGAGTCGGTAGTCGGTCGAGGTCCGCTCGTAGTAGTCGCTCTAGACTCGCTCTCCTCCGCTCGTTCTCGGACTGGGTGCCCCGTCTCGGCCAGTGCGGCCGCCGGCGGCCGTGATTCGTGACGCGCCCCGTGTCTCGTGACGGCCTGTCCCATGACGCTCTGTTTGACGGCGCGGCGCGCGGCGGCCGGTAGCTGACGCGCGGCCTCCTCTGTTGCAGGCCGTCGCGCGCCGCCGCGCCGCGCCAGCTGCCCCATCTGCGGCAGATGGTTTCAGAAGGGCTCCCACCTACGCGAACACGTGGCCAGCATCCACTACCCGGTGCCGTCGAGCTGTGAGCTTTGCGGCAAGCTGCTGCGCTCCAAGGCGTCGCTGCGCACACATCGCATCAAGTACCACCGGCGTGGCGAGCAGTTGGCGGCCGAGAAGGCCGAGCGGCCACGGTCGCGCGGCGTCCTGCCTGCTGCCGACGGCCTGCTGTAGCCCGGGCGTCGGGCCGGGCGCGCCGGCCAGCCCCTCCCCCAATACTCGCGCGCTCGGTCGGCCGGGCGGCTGGGCCCCGCGGCGGACGTGCGCACGTGGCGGCCGTGTGGGCCGCCTGTCTCAGGGTTCGGACTGGACGCGTCGCACCGCCGCCGGCCCGCCTGGGCGGGGTGCGGCCGGGCGTGGCGCGCGGGCGGCGGCCGCGGCTCGCTCCCCCCGCCGCCGGCGCCGGCGGGGCCGGCTCTCGGGAATCTCATGCGGTGCAGTATTGTGAGTGCCAATCTGTTGAGATATACTCGGTAGTCTAGCGCGCGGTGAGGGATGCGATGTGTTCATCGGTGGTATTTTGTAAGTGGTTTTGTACGGAGGCTCAGGCCGAAAGCGCTGTGAAACGTGTGAGATTTTCTCATGCCGACTGTACTTGCCCGGATAAAATGACATTCCACGATATTATTTTGCTAGGTTGTGGCACGGATCCAATATAGGCACTTGTCCGTAAGCCTGTCTTTACCTGCCGGTAGGAGGAACGACGCCCCAGTATTTCCATTTAACCTGCCTTGACACGCCGCTGCTCTCACCCGGCTTGGCCAGTCTGGCTGCACTCTAACGCTATGTGACATTGAAGGATACACACTGCATGTGACCCTAGCCTGGATCCCGGAGAAACGATTGTCACCGGCCGTTGCGAAATAATTGAACTCGTTATCATTTCTTAGCTCGCGATACGGTGTGGGATGTGAGGTTGGATTGTCGTATTTATTTTGCTTCAGGATACTGCGGAAGTCATGAATTTTTGTGACAATTTTCGAACCAATACAAACTTAACGTTCGGCTATGATTTCGTAATTTTAGCAGGTTTGCATATCTTGGAATAGTCTTCTTTCTTCAAGTACTTTAAGAGAGCTTTCCTTTAAACAAGGAGAATTGTTGGAAGTTAAGTTTCAAAATCAAACGATTTTACCACATTGCGGAAGATAATAATGTTTGTGTACCAAAATTCGTAAGGCTTGGGTAGGCTGTGCCCGATCTCTGGTATGCAGTACCACTATCCCCGGAAACACGACCTGGCCTACCCTCGCAGCACCGCCCTGACCTTATCGTTAGCGCAGAGGGCCTGACGTAACCTCAGACCTTCCGTCATTACAGTGGACCTGAGCTACCCTGAAACCTTCCGCTACCACAGAGGACCAGAGTTGACCTCCGGTTCCCCGTCGCCACAGGACCTGACCTCTGACCCCCACTCACTACAGAGGACCTTACCTGACCTGACCTCCGACCCCCGCTCACTACAGAGGGCCCGACCTGACGTGCAACCCTCAGTCACTACGGAGGGCCTGACCTGACCTCCTAACCTACCCCCTCACTATAGAGAACTTTACCTGATCAGGCACCTGACTTAGGTCAGGAGATCTGACCCGGCGATCTGACCTGACCTTACTACCAACGACCTGGCCTGACCCCCTACGCCCCCCCCCCCCACCCACATCCTGACGGGGCACCTGATGTGACCAGGTCTCTGACCCTCCGTGGCCATAGAGCACCTGACCTGACGTGAGACCTTCCGTGGGCACAGAACACCTGACCTGCCGACTCTTGGGGACTGCATGGGATCTGACCTGACCTCCGACCCTCCGGGACTGCAGAGAATCTGACCTGACGTCTGCCGTCATCGTCCCGGGGGACCGGACCTAATTAACACGTCCTCCCAGCTGACGAAACCCTGACCGCGAGCCCACCTTCATTTCTGAAGGCCTGGTCCGAGGCCGTCCGACGCACCAGACCAGACCAGACCTGACCTGACCTGACCTGACCTGACCTCAGCTGACGGCTGACCCCGTTGCAGCGCGACTGATGAGCTGTCCACACTGCACCCACATCTCCAGCAACTACGGCAAGCTGAAGGCGCACATCGGCAAGGTGCACTTCCCAGTGCCGGTCAGCTGCGCCGACTGCGGCAAGGTCTGCAAGAACAAGTACGCCCTGCAGGTGCACAAGAGCAAGTACCACCGGCGCCGCTGGAAGGTAGCGCACCAGGGCGCGTCGCCTGCGCCGAGCCCTCATCGGCCGGACTGACCGGCTGGGCTCGCCGCGGGCTGGCTGGGGCGGCGTGGCGGGGAGGCTTGCTGCGCCCGCTGTCCGGGGGGGGGGGGGGGGGCGCTGCCGAGCTGCGGCGGCTCGGAGAGCCGCGGCAAGGGCGGGTGGAGGGGCTCGCTGGCTCCGCCGCCCGGGGGTGGTGCGTTGCGCAGCCGCGGAAGCTCGGAGAGCCGCGGCAAGGGTCGGCTGGGCGGGAGGGGCGCATGCTTCTGGGCGTGGCTCAAGCTGGCAGATACTCCGGGGAGAGTGTCGGGACTGCTTGCGCTTGGTTTCCTCCATCATACTCATCGCAGTCTGAGGCGCTTGGTCCTGTTTAGGTGCGGGTCGTCTGAGTAGGTCGTCCAAGGGACGCCGTTTTTAGTCCCGGTAGTCACCGACGCCAGCGGTGCGGATCGGGCGGCGCGGGGATAGCTCTGGAGGAGGGGTGGGCGGGGGCCACGGCCCCGGCTGCTGCTCTTCTGAAAAGGGAGGCGCGTTGTGGCTCAAGCAGAATGTGCCGTTTGCTAATAATTTGCTAATACTCAATGGGTGGGATATTTACCTCCTGAGGCATGCCGTATTATCCTCCTTAACTTGCTGACTTGCGTTTGCTGACATGTTCAGAGCAACTATGGACACAGTCACTGATTGGAGTGATTTTGAAAGTCAAGTTATCTACTAGCTCGCGTTGGCTAACGAGTGCAGACAAATGATTAATGCTCAAGTGCGCACTGAAGTCCATCAGCGAGACAATCCGGCGGAAGTTTTAGTGCTTTTCGCGACGGACAACGTTTGGAGCAGCTTGGCCACTGGCAGAGGACAGTCGTACAAGACAGCGTCTCTTGCCCCTACAGTGCCAGTATTCGCATCCCCATGGGAACCCCGATGCGGCGCGATAGATCGATGATAGATAGTTGCTAGATAGTTGGGAGATAGCTGACCCTCAGCATGTGGCCCGAGTGGTTCTTATTCCTCGGATGTTAGGTCCCAGGGCTGATTGGAATAAGAGAACGTATCTTACTGAATGCGGTGTTGCTGTTCCTGGGACGACAAATATCCTGCACGCGAGTTTATGCATGTTACGGGTTGCATAGCAGTAGTCGAACGATATCATGACAGCATCTCAAATTAAAGTGGCAGCCTACCTCCCACTAGTGTTTTGGTACGTTGAAGTACGGCGACGAGACCAGGTATATGCGCGTGGTTCTCTGCCAAAGCTCCAATGTGCCGTTGGCAACCGTGCTCATGTCGCCTTGCAGTGTCGTATGCCCGTCGCGCACGTTCGACAAGGTATCCGCTAATGTTGGAAGGCTAGTCCATAGTATGTATCACCGCAGTTGATAACTGCCTCGGCCAGCAAGTGGTAACGTCGCGGTGCGGCGTCCGAGTCGCGAGTGGTTAGTCAGAGCTCAGCCGCTGAGCCAAGCGGGCAGCAGGCGCCAGTAATCATACTCCCAGTCGTGGTCTGTGGCGGTGTCTTCTCGTTTTCGAGCTCGCCGACGCACCGCGGGATAGTTACCAAGCCATGTTTAGGCTCGTGTGTGTCTTGCGTTCTCCAACGGTGCTTGTGTAACATGTATTCCGGGTAAGAAGTGGTCCAGAACTAGTCTTTGGAAGAGGCGATGTGCGAATATCCCTGTGAGTAAGCCCCTGCGCAGTGTATTATCGTGTTCAGAGGCGTCGGCTTCTCGCCAAGATTGACCCATGTCTTCCCGCTCCAATCCGATGCACCCAGCATAGGCCACACGAGAACCCTTGATCAAAAATGACACCGTCCCTTTCACGTGGCGTGAGGCCGTGGCCAGCGGTCACGGTCTGGTGATCACGAAGAGCCCTGTCCACTCTCTGGGCGTACTGTTCCCGGGACTGAGTGCCCCACCAAATTGGCAGCCGCTGGAATTGAGTGTCATTGTGTTTTTCGGAACGCAAGTGATTGGTTGACCGTATGAATAACAATACACGGTTGGATGCGTCGGTACGACTGTCTGTGTTTAGCTATTTTTATCTGGAGCCTTCACGCCAGCTGTGTGGTGTGGCGCTGAACACCATGACAGTCAGTGGAGTTGGAGCAGTTGTGTGGCGCTGAACACCATGACAGTCAGTGGAGTTGGAGCAGTTGCGTGGCGCTGAACACCATGACAGTCAGTGGAGTTGGAGCAGTTGCGTGGCGCTGAACACCATGACAGTCAGTGGAGTTGGAGCAGTTGTGTGGCGCTGATCGCCATGGCAGTCAGTGGAGCTGGAGCAGCTGTGAGGCGCTGATCGCCATGGCAGCCTGCGGAGCTGGAGCAGTCGCGGGGCGCTATCGTTCAGCCGGAGCCCCAGCAATGCAAAGCTTGCAACAGTTTCCTCCCTCCCCACCTCTTACCCATGATAGCGAGTATAAACATTGAGTATAAACATAGGTTTTACTATATAAGTTGCAAGTAAAATATCCATGTGCTCTTAAGACTTTCCTAAGGCGTGAGCACTGCACGATGCATCGATATTCTGCAAAAAACGAAAATGCGGAGACCACTAGCCTTCAAAAACACGTGCATCTCGCAACTGAAAACAAGACCAGATAAGCCAAAAGCTGGACCTAAAGCCTGTCCAACGCGCTGTTATTGCGTGGTCCGAGGGCTCACCTGCGTGACACAAAGTACATCAGGAAATTAATACTGTGAGAACGGCATCCGCGCCGATACAGCTGGTCAAGCCTGCAGCCTCCCCGTAAGGGCAGCCCACTCGTCGCTCCCGATTGACGTAGCTGTCTGGCGTTCCGTGTGGCGGCGCCACCGGTGCCGGAGCAGCTCGATGACGATGTACGACGGTGGCTCGGCGCTCTACTCTGTCAGCCCCGGCGGCGGCGGCTGCTGTTCGGGTTTGTGTCGCGTGGCCCTCATGTTCATCACCGTGTTGAGCATGACCTTCACCATCGGCACGCTCATCATCGCCGGCTCGGCGCTCTACAACATCTACAAGTGAGTGGCGAGGGCGAGAGAGATGCTGAGAGACATACTGTGTCATAGTGAAGCCTGGTGCAGACAAGTGGACTACAGCAGCTGGCGACAGGCTGCCGCTGGTCTCGCCTTCAGCCGTATCACTTTTGTTCAGCCGTGAAGTAAGAGAATGAAATGACTATTGCATGCCCCACCAGTGTCAAAGAATATACGTAGACATGTTCACGATATCTTTCAAGGATCAAACCACGTCTTATACAACTGCGGCGTGCCCCGCTGAGCCTGCAGCTCTATTGCCGGCTGGGCGTCGGCGTCAGCCTCTCACCCAGCCCGCCCCTCCGCTGCCCCAGCGAGCCGGCGCTGTACGCGGTGGACCGGCAGGGGCTGATCCAGCTGTGGATCCTGGTGGCGGGCGGCGCAATCGGCGTCTTCACCAACATCTGCGGCTTCACCGGCGCTCTGCTCCGCGTCAGGTAAGTCGCACGGGCGCTGGTCCAGGTCGCCGTGGCCCGCCTGACCGCCGGTCGAGGTCGCCGTGGCCCGCCTGACCGCCGGTCGAGGTCGCCGTGGCCCGCCTGACCGCCGGTCGAGGTCGCCGTGGCCCGCCTGACCGCCGGTCGAGGTCGCCGTGGCCCGCCTGACCGCCGGTCGACGTCGCCGTTGCCCGCCTGACCGCCGGTCGAGGTCGCCGTGGCCCGCCTGACCGCCGGTCGACGTCGCCGGACCTCGCGCGCCAGCCGCCTGGGGGGGGGGGGGGGGGGGGGGGGGGGGGGCGTCCATCAGGTGCTGCGGTGAGCTCGCTCCGTCAAGCGTATGGGTCGGGCGGCCACTCTGTTTCACCGCAGGCTTGCGATGTGCGTCGTATCGCTCTCCTTCCGCTGCTTGAACTCCCTCTCCGCCACTGGCGTCGGGTAGCAGACCCGCCACCGAACCGGCGCGCGTCCTCAGATAGTCCCGCCTGTCGTGCTGCACTGCGCAGGTGTCTGCTGCTGGGGTACGCCCTGGTGACGGGCCTGGCGGTGGGTGCCCACCTGGTGGTGGTGTACATGCAGCGCTCCGCCGGCGACCGGCGCCACATCGGCCGCCTCAACATCACCGACGACCCGCACAGCGTCTGGACCGTCGAGATGAACGCCTACGCGGCCGAGGTTAGTTGGAAGCCACTGAGCCTCGAGGCCAGCTACGGCCCGCAGGGGCTCAGGTTTTCTTTGGCGGACGGAAGCAGTGGTTCTCCCGGTGACGTTGATAGCGATGAGTCGTTATTCGTTACGGTGCGTATTCTGCTTTGACCGGATCGGTGAGCACTGCGTTCTGAAAACGATTCTTCGAGTAGAATCTGCAGTAAAAGATTTTGCCCGTTTTGTTGAAAAGTCAGTCGCGTGGTTTGCGGTTATTTGCCACCAGGGACACTTGCCACAAGCCACCGCTTTTCTGTTTCCAAGCTTGTTTATTGCGACTTACTTTCCAGATGGCGTGTATGCTCCCTCATTTTTTTATACATCCAGGCTTAAATGTTTCCTGAAGCCGAGACAAATTGAGTACTACCGCCCGTTGTATGGAATATTAACGTTGTGCGCACAACAGCATAGCGACGCCAGGCTATACTCATGGCGTAGCGACGAACGAATCGGCGTCTTAGATGCGGCCAGAGTTCGTTGGAGGTAATCGGTTGTGCCCAGTGGCGGCCGAGCCGAGCCAGCTCCGAGATGGTGTGGTGTGGTGTGGTATGGTATGGTGTGGCACGGTCTGGCGTGTCTCAGCAGGTGCTGAAGCGCGTTCGGACGGTGCCGAACAACTCGACTGTCGCCACGAATAACATCAACAACACCATCAACAACTTACGCGTCAAGCTCGCTCCGGACGCCAAGTCCGTCAAACAGACGGCGCTCAGCACTGTCAACACCATCCAGTCGTTCCTGAAGGTCAGGGCGAGGCGGCGACGGCCCATGCCGGCCGAATACTGATCGAAAGCGCCGTTCTTGCGTCCGTGTGTTTGGGAAGTTACGCACGTGCGTTTGGGAAGTTACGTCCATGTGTCTGGGAAGTTACGCCGTGTGTTTGAGAAGTTGCGTCCGTGTGTTTTGGGAAGTTACGTCCGTGTGTTTGGGAAGTTACGTCCGTGTGTTTGGGAAGTTACGTCCGTGTGTTTGGGAAGTTACGTCCGTGTGTTTGGGAAGTTACCTCCGTGTGTTTGGGACGTTACGTTCGTGTGTTTGGGAAGTTACGTCCGTGTGTTTGGGAAGTGACGTCCGTGTGTTTGGGAAGTTACGTCCGTGTGTTTGGGACATTACGTCCGTGTGTTTGGGAAGTTGCGTCCGTGTGTTTGGGAAGTTACGTCCGTGTGTTTGGGAAGTTACGTTGTGTTTGGAAGTTACGTCCGTGTGTTTGGGAAGTTACGTCCGTGTGTTTGGGAAGTTACGTCCGTGTGTTTGGGAAGTTACGTCCGTGTGTTTGGGAAGTTACGTCCGTGTGTTTGGGACGTTACGTCCGTGTGTTTGGGAAGTTACCTCCGTGTGTTTGGGACGTTACGTCCGTGTATTTGGGAAGTTACGTCCGTGTGTTTGGGAAGTTACGTCCGTGTGTTTGGGAAGCTACCTCCGTGTGTTTGGGACGTTACGTCCGTGTGTTTGGGAAGTTACGTCCGTGTGTTTGGGAAGTTGCGTCCCGATGACATTAGCGCAGCGAAAAAAAAATGTTGCCGCTCCGCGAAATTTGACTTTCCATCCGCTCTTTACATCTGTATTGTTATTAGGAGCCGTCCATACATTATATTACGCATAAAGTGGAGGGCTTTTTGACGGAGCGTTACCGAAATGTAACAAGGGGATGACGTAACGTTACGCTCAGGTGCGATTGCAAATCATGCTATTTTTTTGTAAATTTTTAGAACTTTGAGGCCGGATGTCGTTGTCGTCCTCTCATGACAAGCAATACGTCTTTCTCAATACGTGGTCTTTTTTCGCCTTGTCTAGCTCAATACGAGGCCCAATGGACCTTTCTGGAACTTAACGCTGCAAGCAGCGTAACCAGGGAAGAAGGGTGGATTTGCTCAGCGCAGCCAGTGTGTTACCATAGAGAGGGGTAGCAAATTGGCAAAAATCTGTACAACAGTTAATGGCTGACGCCGTAGAAGTTAACGATGCTGAAATATTTAGGCCTAGTCTCCTCGGCAATAGCGCCTGTTACAAATACCCCGTACCAATCACACATCGGAAGCATGCTCGCATGACGTTCGAATTCGCAAACGGACTTCCAGAATCCGAAGTCATGTAGACGTACAATTGCCATTGCCATATTGTACTTACTCTCCTTTCCAAAGGCTCATGTGTGACAGATTGTTTGCATATGTCCATGCCCGTCATTTTTGAATGCAAAAGCTCCGGAATCATCTTGATGCACACGTCTATTTTGAAGCTTTGCTGCGTACCTCGTGCTGTGTTTTGTGCCATTCTGTTGCCGTTTGTATCACACGTTCAACTTGCCTTCCAGTGCTGCGGTAAAAGCTCCGTGGAGGATTACATCCAGGAAAACGTGACCATCCCCGAGTCATGCTGCAAATCCAGCGCAGCGTGCAATGCCACTCTGCGGCAGGAACCACGACTGAACTTGAAAGTCGTCCGCGAGATGTCGCACCCGCAGGGCTGCGGACCCTTCCTGCACGCGGCGCACGCTTTCGTCGTGACCGTGATCACGTGGGTCAGCTACGTGGTGGCTGGCTCGCAGCTGTGCGGCGCCGTCATCGCCATGACGCTGGCCTTGTTCTGCATGAAGTAGCGCCGGGCGCAGCGGTGGCCGGCAGACGCCAGCCGTGCGGCAGTAGCCGCTGCCGGTCGAGGAAGCCGTGCGGCGGTAGCCGGCGCCAGTCGTGGAAGCCGTGCGGCGGTAGCCGGCGCCGGTCGTGGAAGCCGTGCGGCGGTAGCCGGCGCCGGTCGTGGAAGCCGTGCGGCGGTAGCCGGCGCCGGTCGTGGAAGCCGTGCGGCGGTAGCCGGCGCCGGTCCTAGAAGCCGTGCGGACCAACTCGGCGGTGGCCGTATGCGGGCAGGGTTTGGACACTGCTGCTGCTGTTGCTGCTAGAGCCAGCGAGGTTCCCGTTTGGCCTACACCTTACCTGAGCAGTACGTCTAAATAAATGATGGAAAATTGTGCCAAGCTATCGTCTCAATCACATTTAAAGGGGTCCTCGTGTTAGGGTGACCACCTCTTAGCTGTTGCCATTTAAGCCGAACAAATAGGCAATACAAATCGATCGTACTCACATGGCCAGCATATATAATAGGATGCATTTTATCTTTAAAGCAGCGTGTCCAGAACCGTTTGACACTGATCAACGCATAGTTTGCATGCACAGATGCACAGTTTCACACTGACTCCGCCACTCACCATTCTTGCGGTCAACGTGACGTTTAGAAATACAATCAGCTTCACCACATCAAAGCACAGTTTCACGGCCGTAAGCCAAGGTGCCTGCTGCCTGCTATGCCTGCTGCAACTAACAGAAGTACTCTGCTGCCCGTCACTCAGGTCCGAGTCTTCCGTCAGCCGAGCTGCAGCCACAATGGGCAAGTTCGTGCGATTATTGGTGCTCACCGGCTTTGTGTGGCGCCTTGCTAAACGCTTCTTCAGGAGTCGCTCCCCACCCCCTACAGCTCCTTCTACCCCTGGAACGTGCAGGGGTCCGTGCCCCTAACAGAAGCAGTACAAAATTTGGGAGCTGCAAGTGCTATGAACCGAACTTCTATCACTGAAGCCTATGAGACACCTGCGCCGCACGGAAGTGACCAGACGTGAAAACTGCTAGTTGTGATGCCGGCGACGTCAAAAGCCAGTCAAGTCAGATGCCATAGGCAAACTACAACATTAGATTCGAGTCTGATCAAGTTTGCTGGCCCACTCGGTCGCGGGTGTGGCATGCAGGAACGGTGTCACGGGTTTTAAGTTGGGGGGGGGGGGGGGGCAGGATCTTCCAGGTGGCCTCTTGGACAAAATCGGGTCTCCTCACATGGGGAGAGGGCTCCTGCGCAGCGCCGTGTTCAAGAGGGAGGGGAGGGCACCGATGGCATGTGCCCCCTTATAGAACTGTTACACGTATCATATCCAAGTAAACACATATCGACAGCATACAAATCTAGAATGAGGGCCTTCTTATCTAGCAAAGGATCTGGCTACCATAAAACAAGGTCTGCTGCTCCTGAAAAGGGGCTTTCCGGTGCAAAGAGGGGCTTCCTAATTCAGGATCGGATGGTTACGATTCACGAAAGGGACCTCCAAATCTCCAGCCGAGGGGCCTCGTTACCTCAAAACAGGGCATTCCGATCCGGAACCGCGGCCACCTGTTGCATGAAAGGGGCCTCCAGAATGTCAAGGGTGCCTCCTAAATCAGTACAGGGGCTACCTAGTCTGTACCGGGGACCTTGGACCATCAAATGGACCTCCGGAGCACAACATTAGGCTTCCTCGTGTAGAGCATTGGCTACCTTACTCACAAAGGCGGCCTCAAGACCCAGAAAGTGGGCTTTTTATGCAGCGAAGGGCTTTCTGAGACGGATTTATTACACTCAAGCTCAGTTATTAAGGCCTCATTTGCCCGCATTCTGTTACTCTACACGTAGGCATGATGTCTTTAGTTGGAGAAAAGGGGGCCTCCCAAAAACTTTGGGGAGGGACAAAAACATGGTCTTGCACCCTGCCTTCCGGCAGTGGCAGCTGCCCCTCCCCTGCTGCGCTATCCCTGATGCCATGCAACAAAGCAACAGAACAGCTGAATGTCTGCTGTTCCCATTTCCATCCGCACAGCAGTGCTTGAGCCGTTAGGCCTAGATTGCGGCCTCTCTCGACAGGGTCCGTGAGGGTGCCGATGGTGTAGTGGGGTATAGGATAGCGTGCGAAATCAGAGGAACGGGGCTAGATTCCCCGCAGTCACCAACCCTCCTGCAGGGGTGACAGGCAGGCGACGCCACATAGTCTCAGCAGCTGAGAGCGTCACAAAGATCCAATGACGACGGATTTTGTGCCAGCGGGCAAGTTTTAGCAGCAGACAGCAGTAGCACCGACTCCACCACCCACCATTCTTGCGGTCAACGCGATGTTTAGAAATACCAATCAGCTTCACCACATCAAGGCAGTTTCACGGCCATAAGCCGAGGTTTATGCTGTGCCTGCTGCAGCCAATAGAAGTACTCTGCTGCCCGTCACTCAGGTCCAAGTCTTCCGTCAGCCGAGCTGCAGCCACAATGGGCAAGTTCGTGCGATTATTGGTGCTCACCGGCTTTGTGTGGCGCCTTGCTAAACGCTCCTCCAGGAGTCGCTCCCCACCCCCTACAGCTCCTTCTACATCTGGAACGTGCAGGGGTCCGTGCCCCTAACAGAAGCAGTACAAAATTTGGGAGCTGCAAGTGCTATGAACCGAACTTCTATCACTGAAGCCTATGAGACACCTGCGCCGCAGGGAAGTGATCAGATGTGAAAACTGTTAGTTGTGATGCCGGCGACGTTAAAAGTCAATCAATTCAGACACCGTAGGCAAACTGCAACATTAGATTCATCGAAACGTTTGATGAATTCTGAATTAATCTGCAGTTATTACAGCCGCGACCAAATATTGTAAACTGCGAATACTGGGGACGGATGTCGACCACAGCAAGCCGGATCGACCACTGGCGATCCCGAGGCTCAGGCAGCTTTGAGATCCATGCACGAGTTATAGCTAATACATTCGCCTGCACCGCGCGGTCGCAAGTTGGCCTCGGGTCTTCGTATGCTGTGGTTGGCGTAATCTGATCCCACCTTACAACGCGTCAAAGCAGATGACGCGCAATCGAGGCAATATCGCAATATTGCACGGAAAGCCTTTCCGGCCGGATCATCGCCTAACCATCTATACTGCATCACTTTGCGGCCTTCCGCCTCACGTAGCGGAGAGCTGGACGAGCCCGCCGGCCTGGCCACCAGTGGTAACGTGCAATCTGGATCTAAAGCGCGTGGCGGCTGGGACGGTTCCGACTGGGCTGATCAAGCTGCATGCTCCCAGAGCCCAGTCGGACTCGCTCGGTCGGCGGTCCCCCTCATGATCACGTCTCGAGCGACGTAACGATAAGAAATAATATACGGCGGCGCCAGCGACGTGCTTCAGCCCAGCTCTGTCGGCGGATTTAGCCGTGTTATTGTACCGCCACGACCAAAACCGTTCCGATGGCCGCTGTGTCACGGACTTCGTGAGCTTCTGGTTGTGTTGCGATGCACGCTACCACCTTGTTTATCATGCGTGTGAACAAATAAAGCGATGGCGTACGGTCTACATTGTACTTCGCAACCCATAACGGAGCCAGACGAGAAGTCGACAGGCACCACTCAACAGAGACCCGGCCGACAGGTTCCGCTGGAACGGCGGACTGCACCGGTGACCCGCACCCACATTCACAAGCTGGTCATTCAAAGGCCGCCGATTCCACTGGCCCCTACGTCCAAGTCTGTAGTTCACACAGAACAGCATCCCCAAAACACGTTACGCAGCGAACCTCACTTCTCTCTCCGAGCCTTTATCATGTAGTTCACTTGGGCCCCATCCCGAACACACAGCTCAGCCACGCGACACACGAAACAGTCAGCATGAGCACGCACACTATTCACATAGAACCGCTAAAACCCTTTTGTTCCACTGGGGGGGGGGGGGGGGGGGGGAGGGGGAGGGCAGTCTGGCCAATGTTTGCATTACGCCCCCACTGCGTCACTGAACCCGCCCTGTCCACACACTGGCAGGGGATTTGTGCACTCTGCGGCACCGAACTGCTCCCACCCGACGACGGCTTGGGTCGCAGGGTGTCTCGTCGCGTCTCTGATGTGGTGCAGCCAGGCGCGACCCGTGATCGTGCCGTCCGCCTGACCCGAGGCACCGCTCCAGGCGGGCCGGTCCGTTCGCTGGGTGCGGCCGGCCCTCCGCCGCTAGCACGACTGACTGTCCGGCGCCTCCGGCTCGAGCGCACGCCGCGCCACTCCCCGCGCCACACCGCGTCCCGCGACTGGCAGCTGCCACCCCACGCGACGTCCTGCACAGTCGGCCGCCAGAGCCGCCGGTCGCCGAGGCTGGCCCCGGAGCAGCTGACCATCGCCGCCCGCTCAGCCGGAGGGGAGGCCGGCTCATGCGGGGGGCTGGTTCAGGCGGCACCGGCCGCAGGGTAGCCGAGGGCCACGCGGCCGCGACGGCGACGCCCGCTCAGCCGACGGGAGCAGCGCGGCCGTGGCGGCGCCGGCCGCCTACAGCATCGGCCGCTGGGCCCGCAGCGGCAGCAGCAGCGTCTGGGCCGACATGGCGTCCGGGAAGAGGCTGTGGTAGTTGATGAGCGGCACGTACGCGGCCGTGATCACCTTGCCTGGCGAGAGGGAGGGCAAGACAGGCCACGTCAGTTGCACCGCACGCTAGGAAACTCTGCCAGCGGCGCGACATGACCCACCCCACGCTAACGGCGTTTCGAGCCATCATGGCTATGTTCCGAGCCTGCCTGCGGCTGGGACGCTGACCGGGCATGGGAGTCTGGCGAAAGTCTGGTCTGGGTGAAAGTCTGGCACGAAAAAAAAGAAAGTCTGGCATGGGTGACCGATTACTACATCACCGTCGCACCGGGGGCTCCCTGGACATCGTTGCAAACGAGCCGCTTGGCTCAGGTCATCAATCGCCGCCAATGGCCACGGCCAGAGCTGCATTTGAATCAGACCAAGCACAAGCCAGCCCTCCCACGTGCTCAGTGCCTCCCAGATGAGGCGTGCTGGCCTTCAGCCCCGGTTCCGGACCCCGGCCGAGCGAGGCGCTCTCACCGGCGAACCAGCGTCCGTGCAGCGAGTTGACAGAGGCGGCGGCTGACGCGATGCTCGGACACTTGACGTAGACGTTGCCCTGCGGCGACTCCTTGTCCACGTAGACGTGCGTGAGGCCGCCGTGCTTGTTGCACTCCTCGACCACGTCGTCGCGCACGTCCGAGTCGAAGCCGGGGTTCTGGGCGGCGCTGCGGGGCCGGGCGGCACGGTCAGGGCGTCACCGGGGGTCACCCATCACACATGGGTCGGCGGAGCCCCGACCGGACCGCCGGCGGGTCACATCTCATACATGGATCCGCGGGCGGCCAGCGGGAGTCCCGGACGACCCGTCTGCAGTTCACCGCTCACAACAAGGATACGCGGGAAGTCCCGACCGGACCGCCGGCGGGCCAGCGGGAGTCCCGGCCGGACCGTCTGCAGGTCACCGCTCACACAAGGATCCGCGGGAGTCCCGATCGGACCGCCGGCAGGTCACCTGAGCACTCTGACGGCTCGCCCAGCGGCCGAAGCCACATCGCGGTCAGCGCCCGTGTTCGGCCGGCGGGGGAGCCGACACGTCACAGCCGCGCGGCCGGGACTACAGCACGATCACCACCCGCCGACTCACGTGGTGGCGTCGAACATGTTGGAGAGCATGAAACACTGCGTGGCGATGGGCGGCGCGATGCCTGGCTGGGCCGCGATGCCGCCCATCTGATTGTGGTTGAGCGCGCTGGCCGCCGCCGCCGGCAGCTGCATCCCGGTACCTGCCAGGATACGGCTCATCACTGATACACCCAACGGCGACACAGCCGACAGCGTACATCCTTAGTCAGCAGCGCTCGTTGGTGAACACGCCGCCACCATTTAGCCAGGCCATTCCACGAGTTACAGCACATGCCAGCACTCCTATCCGGCAGTCCAGTGGCGTTCTGGCGCCGCCTCGCCGGCTCCCGCGAGTCTGAGGCGTCACCGTCTCCGGAGTTCGGCCGCCGGCCCGAGCCGGCCCGGAGCCCCACTCACCCTGCGCCAGCTTCGCCATCAGCTGGAGTCGGCCGGTGGCGCCGAGGTCGACGCCCGAGCGGTCCATCTCGTCCGAGTCGAGTACGTTGGGCCCGCCGGCGGCCACCTCCGAGCGCTCGGTCACGTGGCCCACCTTCATCGGCCGGCCGGCCAGCTCGAACCCGTTCAGCTTCTCCAGCGCCCGCTTGGCGTCGTCCGCCTTGTTGAACTGGCGGCGCGCACACGGCCATCAGACGGGGAACGCCCGGGACAGACCCGTCGCCGTAGACGAGAGGCGGCACACGCACGTGAGGTGATCAAGAGGCTGCTCCGACGGGAGACTGCCGACCACGACTGGGGGGCAGCCGCCGCGTTCTCCGGTGCGGAAGGCATCGGTAAGGCGGCAGCGTGCATGCTGCCAAGCGAGCAGTCACGACCATGACCGTAAGCTCACATGTGTCTGGGAAAGCACCAGTCACGGCACAGTACATGACCGCATGAGAAGCGGACGGCGTGGATCGGGGCCAGATCGCGGTCAGCGGCCGCGGGCACGGGCCAGACCTCACCGTGAGGAAGCCGTAGCCCTTGGAGCGGCCCGTCTGCGAGTCCATGATCAGCTGGATGTCGTCGATCTTGCCGAATGGCTCGAAGATGCCCTTCAGCATGTCCTCGGTGATGTTGAAGTGAAGCGAGCCCACGTACAGCCGCATCGAGCCGCGGGCGTCTGGCCGAGCAGTGGCCGGGCCGGCGGCGGCGGCGGCCGCCGCCGCACGGTTCTTCTCCGCCTGTTGGGGCACGGCGCCCGTCAGCCCCGCCACACAGTCTGCGAGACACGGCCACACAGCCCGGGACATACGGCCACACAGGCCACACAGCCCGGGAAACACGGCCACACGGTCCAGGAGACACGGTCGCACAGTCCGGGAGACACGGTCACACAGTCAGGGAAACACAGCCACACAGTCCGTGGGACACAGCCACCCAGTCCGGGACATGCGGCCACACAGTCCAGGAATATACGGCCACACAGTCCCGGAACATACAGCCACCCAGTCCGGGACACACGGCTACACAACCAACGACACGCGGCAACACAGGAGAAAACAGGCAGCTACGAACACGCACCGACAGCGGCTGGGTCCACCAAACACATGGATAAAAGGGCTACGCGTCGGCCCGGACAGCTAAGGAACGTTCGACGCGCCCACCTCGGCAGCATGCGGGCCGCCTGTGAAAGTCAGCGTGGCTTCCTGGGAAGTCTGCACTGCCACCTGCTACTGCTCGATAGTGCGTTCGCAATGCCTACACCGTATTGAATAGTCCCCGAACCGTGTTTGTATTTGTCCTGTCTAAGCCCAGACCTGTGGGTGAGGATCACCTGAGGCAGCTGTGCACGACAGGCACCGCCCCCCCCCCCCCCGCCGTGGCTTGCTCCGTGTGATCCCCTGCCGGTCCATTGACGCTCACCTGAGAGGGCTGAACCATGATCGGCACGCCGAGCAGCTTCTGGCCGGTCAGACCCATGGCCAGCGGCACCGACTCCACGTCCTTGAACTCCACGTACACGATGCCCTTGAAGCGGCGGGTCTTGTTGCACATGATCATGCGCACGTCCGTCACCTAGAACGAGGACGGCTCGTCAGGGATCCGTGGTCGGCAGAATCAGCCGACACGCAGGGCGGTGTGGGCGCGGGACAAACCGCGCCGAGCCTGCAGCCGGACGGGGCCCATCGTGAACGCCAAACGTCAGCACGCATCGTAAACTCGACCAAGAAGTCGTGTAACACCGCAGGCGGAACCGGTAAACGTAGGGGCGGCGCGCGCTCGACTCAACCGCTGCTGTCACACCCAGGCATCCGGCACCGACGAGTCCGGCTCACCTTCCCGACCGACGAGAAGAACTCCTCCAGGTCTCTGGTCTTGACGCGCTGCGACAGCTGCATGCAGAAGACGGTGCGCGCGTCGCGCTCCTCGGGCGTCAGGTCCAGCCGCCCGCCGCCGCCGCCGCCGCCGCCGCCACCGCGGCCGCTGTCGGCAGAGCACGCGCCGCTCAGCGCCACCGCCGGAGCCCGCCCGATCGAGCACAGCGCACGGTCGTCCCGCCGCGCCCGACAGCCGGCGCCGCCCGCCCGCACTCAGCCGGGGACGGACACACGTCGCTCGTTAGGACGCCGAGCCAGGACGAACGTAGGGGAGCGTAGGCTCAGCCACGGGGCCGCGAAATTGTTTAACCACCTGCAGACCGCCATGCAAAACACTATGCATGTGTCGCGCTGCAAGGCAGATGTGATACACCATCTGGTCCGAGATCACCAGCTGACCTGAGTGTACCTTGCTGCGCTGGCTTGTGAATTGTTAGCTGTCTGAATTGTGATACTCGTGAGTTTGTTTTCCCTTGCCCACTGTTTATTTTTGTTTTTAATCTTGACTCGGTTGACGAACAAACTGAAAATATGTCAGGATGTAACAACGATAAACTGAACTGAGATGAACTACACAAGCCCGATCATCTGCGCTGGCGGTCAATGGCGTGTTCAGACGATCAGGCAATCACTGGCAGCACCTCAGCGCCGACCACTTGGCGCGGTGCGGTGCGAGGACTCCGTCCAGAAAGAGCCTTTCAACCGGCTGCGCTGTCGTCCCTGCCCCGTCGGCCCCCGAGCCCGGCGTCAGCAGCGTGGCGGCAGGCTCACCCCTTGTCGCGGCGCGGCGAGCGGCTGCGCCGGCGCTCCCTGTGCCGCTCGTGGCCCCCGCTGCGCGACCGGTGCCGCCGCCGGTCGCGGTCGTGCCGGCCGCGGTCGCGGCTGCGGCTGCGGCTGCGGCGGCGGCGCTCACGGTCCCTGTCGCGGCTGCGACTGCGCCGGCTACGGCTCCGACTCCGGCGGTTGCTGCTGCTCCTGCTGGAAGCGGCGCACGCTGAGTTAGCGTCGCGAAGGGAAGGCAGCAGCTGCAGGCAGACGCCAGGGCAGCTCGGTAGGCCCAGCCCAGCCCAGTGGGGGCAGGGGTGTGCTAGCACATACACACAGACACACACTCATACGATCGCCACACATATTTATCAAGAGCACATGCAATGTTCAGAGTGCACAATAATAACTAGTAAGTTTACAGCAGCCAACGAGGATGCCCAATGCCGTTTTCAAGCTTACATGCATGTAAGTACATTTACTCCTTTGCTTTACCACATACTATCAATGTCAATAAACACACATTGACAAGTCAGATCCTCGCTGAAACACTGCAAAATGCGAACAAGTCCGTATATAGCTTATTAGCTTCCGCAAGCAATGCCAGAAAAAAATAGCAGCACGGGAAAACATGAACTTACCTCTTGCTCTTGGAACTAGTACTGTGGCCATTCTCTTTGCTCTTGGAAGTCGCCTTCCTAAGAGAACAGCAAAGATGAACGTGGCGGAGAGAGGAACAAAGCGCAGCATTAATGTCATGAACAACACAACTCCAACAAGGTTAGTATGAGCAAATGGCGTATTGCCTCCACATCAGGCGGTGTGAGGGCGAATCGACCACTTCCGACGGCTGAGTGGTGCGCATCCTCACACTCCCTCCCTCGACAAACTCAGCCTCACACTCGCCACTCAGTGCCTCCCATATACCTATTGTACAAACCTGGGTGTCAACTCGCTTTCGCTACAAGGCCGACGAAATGCAACATATAATCTGCAAAATATTTTCATTTCAATACTGCATGTCTGGGGAATGGGGGCGTACATCAGAATGACATCATGAAGAACAAGGTGGTACTGCATATGCACTTGTGAACAGAACACCATGAAAGAAATGCAGTCATCTAGAGTGCCTGGACCAGTCTGTATCATGACGCAAAGTGGGCTCTCTCGGAAGAAATTGCAAAAGAATGGTTAAAATATGCATCAGTTAAATATCTTAACTATTTAGATGAACATATTCGTGATGTCTGGGGGAAGATTAATTGTGTTTGGCCAGTCCAGCAAAACAAATGAATTAAATTTGGGTGATTTGGGAGATTCGCATTAGTGGTACAAACAACGCAGTCCACAGGGAATACGCCCGGCATCTCAAACGGTGTAACTCTCGGCTCGTGCAGCACTGGTCACAGAGAGTGGTCAGATGCGGGTGTGGGCACACATGGTCGAACACATACATAGGATCAAACACATGTGCTTGATCATGAAAGGACCACTGGAAAGAGAGCATATTTGACACCAGGGGGACGCCGCAAGCACAGATCACGACAGAGCAAGTGACACGGGGTCCTGGTTTCGGACACTGCTGCCGTCTGGATACGACGACCAGGGCGTCCGTGTTTTGGCAACACTTTTCTCCGGAAAACCTAAGGTGATAAAGGAAACGTTTCAGGATAAGTCAGTCTACATCCATATCATTGTCAATAGCAGTTCACACATCATTGAGACAAGAGCGACATGCGAACGTACCTAAATAAGCCTTGGATATGCAATGGCAAATACATCAGATGTTCCAATACCATCTGTTTCTTCCTAGATACCTGGGCAATATTTTCAAAGGAGCCCAAAGCCAAAAGATAAACTCGCTTGTATCAATAGGGTACAAAAATCACACCATACACATACAATATTACAGTTAGAACATTTCAGAATTATATCTGTGTTGGCTGAAAGCCAGCTGGAAAACAGGCTTAGTTATTAGAAAACTAATTTTTTCAAAATACCTTTTTAGTGTAGGGTGCCTCCAACAGCTCGTGAACGTCCAAATCGTCCGTCATCCCTGTAAGAACACCACATGCATTATTGACAGATGAAAGCACCACTCCCAGTCATCAAACTATCCAGAAACATTCTGCTTTACTAAAAAAAATAGTGAAAGGATGTTCACAATGCATGTCCATCATCCATTCAAGAGTGTCCCACCTTTGAGGCATATTTCAAAAATATACTCCAGTGAAAACTCAGGACTAGATACATCTCATAAAAGCACTATGCTGTGTCATTGTAGTACCATCAATGCATAAAAAGATAGCAATTGAAGCAATTGTTTAGCTCAAATTATACTGTCAACACTTCTTTCTTTCAATCACAACAGCCTTTGCCATGACAACCACTATGTGTACCTCTACTGGTGTGAACAAAAGCATGTTTGTGTTTAGGCCCAGTGGGCGGAGGCCTATTACCGAGAAGCATGTTGGTTGAAGTTTGAACAAGTGCCATCGCAAGGATCATATGACACTCCTTTTCCCAAAGCCAAAGTACACCCCCAAAAAAGAGCTACTGTGGTGAATACTGTAGGGGTGATATCAAAGCCACAGTATGACATTATGCTGAATTTTGTTTTGTTTCATTGTTTACACATCTTGTTATCATAACTAGTGTTTTAACTTTTTGTAGGATTTATTACACAACCATTTTGACACCATAGTAAGCTACAAACATAATAGCACACACATTGGGAAAAGCAAAGCACATGAGCTATATTACCATCACAGTGGTAAGCAGGGAGTCAAGTGAGACTTCCCTTGCACTGTCAGCTACTTCAATAAACACAAAATTCTGCACTTCTCAAAAGAATTTGAAGGAAATGACATCACTGACCAAATTAAAAGCATCTGATGCAACAGTAAGTAATAAGCACAAAAAGATGGGATTAAATACTTAATGACAAAGTTCAAACAACCAAAAAGACACTTTGTGTAAACAAACCAAAATTGCAACAATTAAACACACAGTGACAACAAAACTTAGCAGGCCTGAACCTCCACATAAGTTAACAATTATCAAAATAGTGTTGCAGCTCCAATCACAGCATGCCAAGGGCAAATGATAAACAAAAGCCTAGCTAATGCATGACAACAATTTATAAATTACTTAGGATTCCTTGATGATACAACACTGCTGAGCACAACATCCATTTATTTCATATTCCAAAGCACCTGTTTGCTGTGAACCAGAAAAAGAAATTGGAGACACAAACATTTGTTAAATATTGGCTTGGGGCTCCTGAAATGGATAATTTCCATTCAACCAGAGTAATGAAACCATAAATATGATAATAACAAACTTATTTCATGACTTCCATCTTATATTTTATCTTTTTTATCAAAGCTATGCTCAAAAATGCAGCCAAGTCATTTTTACATGTTTTGGCTGGACTTCACACAACTTTTTACCAATTATGTTACACTGCATGACAAAAGTGACTACATCAGTGCATAATAAAAGTACTACTGCATAGTACATGCCTAGCATATATTGAGCATATACCATGGCCAAAACTTTACAGAATTGGTGCAGATTAAAAACACAGTTCTGGCAAATGGGAAAATGCTAAAATTAATGGGGTTAAGTAACAGACAAGCAATTCACATTCAAGCATTTCCTTCAGCAGGTTTAATTTTTCCCAGATAATTCAACACCTGTTGATATCCATATACATCATCAGTGGTGTATCATATGACATGTCAGATGATGTGCTACAAAACTCATTTAACCTGGCTGGGAGCATTGACATGATAACAATGTGGTTTAAATAATTGTGCACAATACTTTGGGTGATGTTTACCAAAACAATATCAGACCCATATTCCAAAGAACAATGGTTTGCACTAAATCATTTAAAGACACCTCGTAATTGCTGGTGCTGTACAAGCATAAATCAAAGATGATAACATGATGCAAAACACAATGTCAAACATGCTAGAACACCACAATACCAAACCACTCCAAAAATACCTTGAGGTGCTGCTGCCAGAGATCTGATCTATTCAGCTGGGAAGTGGAGTCCAGGACGATGTAGCAACAGCTGGTGGGCGTATTATCTTCACCAGAGGGAATGATTTGACTAGAACAGAACATTTATGTTATTGAGGCCAACCACCCAAAGAATCATAAATTTATCTATACAATAGCTATTACTTAATATATGCAACATAAATCTGTGCATTCACCAGCATGAATAAGAAATGTAACAATATCACATCTTGTGCACAAGTAAAATGTAATGAGAGCTTAAGGGCACCACAGGTGGCCATATCTTATTTAATGACTTCTCACATCATTCATATGTCAGCATGCCTTGGCAAACCAAATAATATTGCTTCCCATATGAGGTTAAAATTGGTACATAATACAGCTGAAAACAATGTCTCTTCATTTTTCTACATTTACTTTCTTGAAGCATAGGTTTTGGCACAAGCCATGGTTTTGTTCAACCAATTCAGGTAGCCTGTGAGCTGCACCATATGTGAACAGCACCATATCATGAATTGATCTATACAATAGCTATTATTTAATACATGCAACATAAATATGTGCATTCACCAGCATGAATAAGCCAATAAGCCAACTAAATATGGATGACCATGGATAGAAGACAGAATGAATACTAGTCAACTGCATTGTAAAAAAAAACTTCTTAAAACAGATAGCATAAGATCTGGAGGAGTGGCACTTTTTTGCTCATTCTAATGTGTTTTAACTGATAAAATTGCCATGGACAACTGGTCAAAGCAACACAAGATACATGTCATTATTAGAAGACAGCAAAACAGACACTACTAAATTTGATGCTGACAAAAATTGATATATTCAAATGGTGCCCATGCACAGCTTGAATGATGTAAGGAATTGTGCTTGATATTATGACTCAACATTGTGCTATTGTGACACAGCTGAGCATGAACATTATGATGAATTGTTTGTGCAGCTGTCTCCCTTCCCATGCAAATCTGTGTATCTTTCTATGAGCTTAAATAAGCTCACAACAAATTAACTGCATCTTTTATTTCTACAGCAAGTACCTATGCACTTACCTTAAGCATATAAAATAAACTGAATCATACACTTTGTGTTAGGTTGTAACAAAAGTGTACATTTAACAGCATCATTAGCTCACCTGGTATGCAATAGTACAAGACACCACAATCACTTCAGGGGAGGGCACCGGTACAAATGACTATCAAAATAGGGACCTGGGTAGTACAATATGCCTATGCACCTAGTTGGCAACTGGCTGGGGAATTACCCGTTAAAAAGTGCCGCGAGTCACAGCGTAACACGCTGGTGGAGCACGTACCTATCACTGGAAATGTGAACAGAAACACGCTCCCTTCTGACCAGCTGAGTCAAGCCAGATTGATTCTAAATGGCTGACTTCACGATGCACGACTGACCACCACTCCTTAGCACACTAAGTAACAGTGCACAAGCTGTGAATGATCCGATCCAGCTATATGATTCTTGGAATATTCACTCCACACGCGTTTCCAACATGTCCTCCGCGCATCTGCTCCCCCTGCGTTGTCGTCGCCTATTGTGCCATATTGGTGATGATAAAATTCCTTGCTAAATACTAGGTGGTAAAATACGGACAAATTTAAAATATTATCTTTGGGACGAAAAATGTAAATCGGGTAAAATGCATCACACCAATAAAATAAAAACACAACTGACTGCACGCGATTTTATTCGTATGTCATGTTTACAAGGCACAAAAACGTCATAAGTAGAGTAGTGGGTTGTATTTAAATAATTTTCAGTTTGGTTGCCCGTTTGCAATGTAACGTAACGCTTGTGTTTCAAAAGCGGAGCACGTCAACTGCGAACAAGGCTATCTGACGGCGTATCTTAAAAAGGGACTGCGAAGAGGGGAAGGCAGGGAAAATTCGTGGCGTCAGGCTGTGGGCATACAGGTGAGGGCACGATTTGTCCGTACTGTATATCTATTCAAGATCTTGGTTCGATCAACTGAGGTGGCAGCGTTTTCTTTTTCATGTGGTATCGTGTTTTTATTGCTAGGTTGTGCAGTATGTGCGTTGATATATAACAATTGAAGCCCACGGGACAGAGATGGATGCCCATGTTGCCATATGTTTGTTTGTGATCTCAAATCACAGTATATGCTCAAGCTGAAATGCATAATTTATTTATTTTCCTTTCGCCTAAATTGAAAGAAAATGGTGTCTCTGAACTGAAGCTGTGACACCCTGATCAAAACTAACAGCCTGAATGTTACCACTTCTGCTTTCTGTGCCTTAATGCACTGGATACATAATGAGTGCTGCATTGAACAAATGACCACTGTAACATGCATCCCCGATAATTCCATGTATAACACTGGACATCTCCAAGGCATTCATTTTCTGAACCCCACTCTTCCTTGCACTGGACACAGGCCAGGCCAAATTGTGCTGACAATGTTTTTTTGTATAAAATGTTTTTATAGTGCTATATTTTCAATTGAAAATTGTGTTTTCAACAACATGATGACTTGTAAAATTAGCTCCAACTTCTGTGTGCTAACATTGGTATCACCAACTGGGAACTTGCAAAAAATGCACAGATATAGGAAGCCTTTCAGAATATTATTGAGCAGGTAACTGAAAACCAGCTTTTTTGCTTAACCCTTTATGTCTCCATCCCTACTTCAGCCATTAAAACAGCTGCCTGAACACCCCAGTAGCGTGTCTTGCTGCTGTAAGCAGCGAGGCCATGTCAGCTATGGAGATAAACAGTTTAAAGTTTAGTTGTAGGCTGTCAAAACTGGCAAAAATTTTTCCTGGTTTTAGCAGTCTGTGTATCCCAGAATATTAATAATGCCTGGGAATGAGGGCTTTGTTGTAAGTGTAAAAGTGATCTTGGATTTTTCCCTTGAATTCTGTACATGCTGTGCAGACTGCTCTGTGTAATCTAGGAACTGTGAGTGCATAATTTATTGGAATACAACAGGCTTGGGGTCAGTGCACAGGTATAACCACAATTGGTCTGTGAATCAAGAAAGTTTTGGTGGCTGATTCTACCCATGTAGCTGTGAACTGTGCTGTTGAGCTTGACAGCTCCTGGCAGTGAATGGGTAGGAATCCAGCAGCATTTTCAGAATTTTTTCATCCCATGAAGCACTGATGTAACAAGCTATCCCTCATTGATCAAGCAGCAAATGAACTATTTGGCTATAAGGCCTGAACACTGCCAAAAAGTGTGACTTGTTAATCATAGACCTTTTAACATTCAAAGTTAAGGAGAATTGCCACCCAGATGTGGTCTCATTGGGGGCTGAGGTTGACTGTAAGCACCCATCTGCATTGTACAAGGAGCTCTGATTCGACTTTAGGATGTGCATGATCCTGCTGCACCACTTCATTATTGTGTGTATTTTTTAAATACAATTTCCAAAAAAGGCTCTTGTGTGTTCCAAGTACGTTGGGAGAGGGCCCCTTATTATATGTCATTGTCCTGTAGCAGTTGATTTCTTTTGTCTAAAACTAATGTATCAAGCAAGTTTGAGATGTAAGACATTTGGCAAAGCATGACACCTTTTCAAGCAAGCCGGTACCAGCCCAGGATATGTGACATCCATTAATAACCACTCAGAGGCGACCACAGTTATAGACCACATATGAAAGCTGAAAACCTGCTCGCTGGCTGTGAGTAAGATGCCTTTCAGAGTCCAAAAATAAAAACAGCTGTCTTTGTGCATAACAGTGCAGCAAAGTGAGTGCCTTAAAAGCGCATCACTGTTTTGCACAAACACAATTATATCACCCAGTAACGTGCCATTGCCTCACATCAGAACTAAATCAGTCAGTTATGTGGTTTGCTGCCACAGACAAAGTGACAGGACCATCTGGTGTGTTGCAGGCTCAGCTTCCCACGGGCGTGTGAGCCGAGCGTGGCTGACAGCCAGTGGCGGTCATGTCGGGCAAGATCAGCCGCTCCATCTCCACGGCACCGTCGGCCGGCTCTCCTAGTGGGGACCCTGCCACGGACAAGGCCTCCAGGGACCAACACTCACCGACGGAGTCACCTCTTCAAGTTTTTGTCAAGGCCAAGAAGGGCATCAATGACATCTATGGCACCATTGATGCTTATGTGCTGGATGCTGTGCACTTCGTTGACAGTGAGATATAGGGATTGATGCAAGCAGCAGCTGCACTTCATTGTTGATGCTATTGCTGCTGTTGCTATCTTTCTGTCTTTCTTCCTTCTTCTATCTTTTCTATCTTTTCTTCCTTCTATCTTTCTTTCTATCTTTCTAATCATCATGCCTTTAAGATGCACATAGTGACTTTTCTCTTGTTTTGCATTTATTTTTTTCTCTGGTCATAATAAATAATGCATGCAGGAAAGATGATAAGAGTGATTGTGTCAATAGCTTGTGCACACTTACAGACATGCACAGTACTTAGTCATGCATTGCTCAAGTCCTGAAGTCAGAGTTTGTTTTAGTCAACAACATTACCTGTTGGACGATATGTCAGAAAGCCGCCGCACGAGGGTCCATACAAAGCCTATTCAACAATTTTACACTGCATTAGCAAAGCTGAGGTGTATATTTGCCTCACTCTTTATTGAATGTTGTTCCCAGCTCTGCCTGGACAACGCTGCCTGACATGACAGCATGGAGTAATGGAAGTGCACCAATGTTCTGAGCACCTAATCACGTTCTGACCACATTTTGCCCTTACTAAATAGTGATGCGTGTTTCTCCAGGTGTTTTTATGTGAAGCTTGTGTTCGCCCCGCAGCGCGCTCACTTGTTTCCTCTTTGTTGCCACCCAGCCATCCAGACAGACAAGGACCTGTTGACCGACGCCCAGGCTAACGCCATCCGAGACCTGCAGACGAAGGTGAAGGGCATCCGAGAAGTTCTGGCCAGAAATCACATGAAGGTGGTCTTCTTCGGCAGGTGCGTGCGCGGGCTGGGCGGTCGCTCTGCCGCGGCTGTCGCGCTGAGCACGTTCGGCCAAACTTTGTTGAGCCGTAGACAATTGAATAGCCGATCTTGTGGGATAAAAGAATCGTATGTACACTGTGAGGTCGCTGGCCTTTGACAGGTCAAAGTCTGGCCATGGCTACCAGCCTAGGGAATTCTTTGGTAACCATGCAGTCTGATGCAACAATGGCGTTTTAGGCGAAGCCATGTATCTTTTATGTTTTTTTAGACAATTGGACAAATTGATTTATAATTACGACTAGTTTTATTAACCTTGGATGAGGCATGAAAGACAGACTGAGGGCGAAATTAAATCGCTTTTTTACTGGACACCTTGCTTTATTGGGTAGTTTTTATGCTGGTTTCTAATGCCATGATTACTTGGACGTCAGTAGACATCGTATTTAGACTTCATGAAGGTCGGAGGTCACTGACCTAAAATGACCGTGAGCAACACCACCAAGTGTAGTCCGTGCCACTTATCCAAACTCAGATACCAAAAAGTCTGCAAGTTTTGGGTCTACTGACCTGAGAAGACATTACTTACCATGGCACTGGCACTAGTAACCTTTTACTTCGGAGATAAGTCTAGGTTTAGTGTGGTTACACTAGGAGGCCCGAGGGTACTTCATACATCGATCTGAAAGTCGGTCCTGTGTAACCTTATTTGACCTGAAGGTCGTGACCGAGGCAGCTCAAGCTTGTATCTTTAGCTCTCTTAGTTCTTGAGATGTCAGGGGGATCAAATTGACCCTTCCCCGCACCCGTGCCAGTCGCAGTCAACCAGCAACCCCGGCACGTGTTAGATGAAATGGATATGATTCATTGCCTGCAAAGAAACGGCCCACAGTTAAAGTCAATGCATGACATTGGATCATGTGACGCTACGCTACAGACCCTACGTCGTTGCGATGCGATGACAGTACGGTGCGATGGGGGCACGGCCTTGTAGTCCCCCCCCCCCCCCCGCCAGCTCCGTAGCCTGACTGCGTCTCTGCCCACCTTTCCAGGACTAGCAACGGCAAGAGCTCGGTCATCAACGCCATGCTGCGCGACAAGGTGCTGCCCAGCGGCATGGGCCACACCACCAACTGCTTCCTGCAGGTGGAGGGCGTCGACGGCCACGACGCCTTCCTCACCGTCGGTGACGACGGACGTCGGCGCAACGTCGAGGTCGGTGGCCTGGCGGGCTGTCGGTCAGGTGCCCGTGCGGCGGGCCGTCAGTCAGGCACCCGTGTGGCGTGACGTCAGTCAGGCACCCGTGTGGCGGGACGCCAGTCAGGCACCCGTGCGGCGGGCCGTCAGTCAGGCACCCGTGCGGCGGGCCGTCAGTCAGGCACCCGTGCGGCGGGACGTCGGTCAGGGACCCGTGCGGCGGGCCGTCAGTCAGGCACCCGTGCGGCGGGCCGTCGGTCAGGCACCCGTGCGGCGGGACGTCGGTCAGTGACCCGTGCGGCGGGACGTCGGTCAGGGACCCGTGCGGCGGGCCCTCAGTCAGGCACCCGTGCGGCGGGACGTCGGTCAGGGACCCGTGCGGCGGGACGTCGGTCAGGGACCCGTGCGGCGGGCCGTCAGTCAGGCACCCGTGCGGCGGGCCCTCAGT